TCCCCCACACCACCGCCCCCACTCCCCCACCCAACCCCCATCCCCCACACACGCCCCCATCTCCCCTTCAACCCACCTGGCGGTGTCTGGGCCCACCAGCTGGTCCAGCAGGCGCGCCGCCGCAAGCCCCGCCTCCAGCCTGTGCATGAGGCGGGGAAGCTGGAGCAGGGGCGCCCAGAGAGCGGCGGGGGGCCGGGGCCGGCTTCGCACAGCTCCGGCACCAGGGCCACGGAGGCCTCGCCCTCCTCCGGCTCCGCGGCCGCATCCAGGCGCCCGCCCGCGCCCTGCTTCCAGGCGCTGGCTTCGATGAGCGGCTGGCCGGGGTCCAGGTTCGGCAGGCCCCAACGCTCGGCGTAGTAGGCGGCGTAGGAGGTGCGGGTCGTCGTGGGCGGGGCCTCGTCGGCGGGGCTCCCGGCCGCGGAGACGGCAGCGGGCGCCGCCCCTGCAGCCCGACGCTTGCCGCGTGGGGCTGAGCCGCGGTCCTCGCTGGTCTTGAACGTGGACTGCAGGTTCAAGTCGTGCCGCACGCCCCTGAAACGGTGGCACGCATGCGGCGGAATGAGAGTGGCACTGATTTCTTGAGGCGCAAGCCCCTCACACCCCGCCTGGAGAGGCCCACGCCCTTGACGGTGGGAGCCTCTCCCATTGTCTGCCATACACCCCCATTCGCCCAGGCCCCCCATCTCCCACCCCCCCTCCTCCGCCCCCACCTGAAGGCGTGGACCTTACGGTTGTAGGTCGTCCAGATGATGCGGTCCCGCAGGTCCACCCCCCTGCGCAGCAGCGCCAGCACGGATGTGGATCCGGCGTCCCCACATACCTCGGCCACCAGCCTCCAGTCTATGCTGCCGTCGCCGCTTGGGGCTGGATGAAGGGGCGGGGGGAGGTCCTCAGTATGACTGGTCAGGCAATAGGAAAGCATGATGTCGCCGCGATGGAGTTCGGAGCAGGAACCTTGGGTCTCAGCAAAAATGCTGTACACAAATACGCCTGCCAACCTGCGGGAGCCAGCAGGAAGCTGAGCGCCTCCGGGGACACCCCCGCAGCCCTGGACGCCTTGCCCCGCCGGCTCTTGGGCAGGTGGCCGTCCTGTAGGATGATCACGCGGTCGATTATCCGGCGCACCAGGGCTCGCACGAACAGACCGGCTCCTTTGTCCTCAGGTCGGTCATCGTGGGGCGTCGGTGCTGCCTCATGTGCAACCCCTGCACGCCCAATGTCGGCGTGGGGAGGCGCCGGCGCCGTGCCTCCCGTCGCCCCGGCCACGATCTCATCCGGCTCCGGCACCATCCCACCCTCTCCATCGGCTGCCTCTGCTGCCACTGCGACCGCAACCTCAGCCTTCCGCCGCTGCCCAGCAGCGTGGCGCGGGGGCCCCCGCGCCAGCATGAGCTGCGCCAGCGCCACGTGGCAGGCCTTGAGCTGTCGAAGCTGGTCGCCGGAGACGCGCACGGCCGGGCCGGGGAGGAAGGCGAGCTGGTTGGAGGCGCCGTCGTTGCCTGGCAGCCGGCAAGGGGGTAGGCCCTCGGGCAGGGGCTCCAGCAGCAGGCATACCAGGTCCCGCATGGCCTTGGCCGGACCAGAGGAGCTGGCGGCCAGAGTCCTGCTCCTGTCGTCCACCACCAGCCACCTGTATGGGTGCAGCAGCACCTCCCCATGCTCCCCGCTGGGTGCAGGAGGGTGGAAGCCTGCACCGTGGGGTGGTCGGGGGGGGGGCGCACTCGTGAACTCTCATGGGCAATGCTTGTAGGGGAACGTTGAGAGGTTTTGGGCCTCGCAGACTCAAGCCGGTACTTTATGACAAACCAAAGCAAAATGACCCTGCATCCTTGCGACATGCTTTCCATGCTTATCCTCACTTGCTATTGGTTAGCATGCTGTGCATGACTCCCTCAAAGTAGCACCGCCCTAACATCCAGCCTTTCTAATTTCACGCAGACCTTGGATGAGGTGGCGCTTGGGGGGGTCGATTACTACCGCAGGGATGACCTCGGCAACCGGCCAATCACTGCCACCTGGTTGGAGGAAAGAGAGGCATTTGTGATTAACAATGAGTCATTTCACCACTATGGTAGACATGAGCACATGACTTGACCTTCACATGGCACCCCAGTTGCTGCCCATGAAACCTCTGAATACAAAAGAGCAGGTCACCCACCTCCCGACTGCACGCCGGAAGCGTGTCGCCGCTCGGCTGCCAGCTCGAATGCTGCCGGCAGGAGGTTGTCGTTCAGGCTCCCAGACTGGGGGGAGGATGAGGTGGGTGTGGAAGGGAGGGTGGCCGATGACACCACAGGGAGGGTCTGAAGACTGCGCTCATGATGCCATGTGCGACTCCACGCCACCTGCAAACCCCTCCTCAACCGGGCACCCCTCCCGCACCTCGTGCAGGAGCCGGATGGCGTTGAGGGCCGCTGAGGCGATGGACTTTCGGCGGGTGGATTGCGGCATGCCCACCGTCTCCCGCAGGGGGCAGTTGCTGGGCAGGAAGGCATGGGTCAAGTACATGCCGTCGAGCAGTGCCTCTGTGCGGTAGGTTGGCCGCAGGATGGAGTACCTGCTCCATGCAGATGAGAGACTGGGTGGTGAGAATGCTGGCAGCGTGCAGGTTTCAGGGTCGGGGGCTCAGCAACAAGTCAGCGGGCCGGGGGCAAGCGGGGTCGAGCTCGCCCTTCCCTCAAGCCAAAAGCAGCATCCCTAAATTCATGCTCACACGGCAGCCACGCTTGCCTGTCAGTGGGCAGCTTGGAGATGTAGGTGTGGAGGAGTCGGAGGACGTTACCTGCGCTCACTCGTGCGCCGGTGCTGGCCACCATGTACCGCAGCTCCTCGTCCTGAAGGGTGGAGAATGGGAGCAGGGCCAGAGACTGAGAGGCGTGTGGTGATGCAGCAGGTTGGATGGCGGTACAGAGGACCAGATGAATCCGACATGCCCCTCCACTGCAGGGTTGGGGTCTGTTTCATGTGATGTTGGTTATGGCCGGCTCCTCATGTCTACACCTCCTCCAACAAGAATTCCATCCCCATCAGCGCCCATGGCTCACGTTGATGCCATCGTCTTCTTCGCTCTCTGAGGACTCGGAGGCGTCTTCCACCAGGCCCTTTTCCTGCACGACGAAAGAAGAACAACACACTCATCCTCACTCAAAGGCTTGCTGCCAAGGTGGAGGCTATCAGCCACGAGAACGGCAGCCCCCTATTTGTTAAGGTTTGGCTGCCGATGGCATGAAGCGTGCATCTCCCCCTCCACGCCTTGCACATCAGGCAGTCCAATGCGCACCCCATCCCTCCGCCTCGCCTTCATCTTGTGAATATTGGACAGCACCTCCTGCCTCAAATCCGCCTCAAACTTGATCATGTGATTGATCATCTGTGCATCAGGCGGGGCATGAACATGAGTGGCAGGGCAATGCAATGGCGACGTCTCCATGCAAATCCTCACAGATTCCCCCTGCTCCCACGCATTCCACCTCCTCTGCCACCCCTCAGCCCCCTACCTCCAGCTCCTCGGGAAGCTCTGTCTGCACCATGAGGATCAGTACGCTGTTCTGCATGCGCGCCCGTCCACGTGACTGCAGGGGAGGGGGGGGGATTGTTGCATGGTGTGGGATTTACGTCAGGCGGACGAGAATTGAGAGGCACCTCACTCAGCCATGCATGCCCAGGCGTGCGTGCCAGACCAACTCGCCAGGATTCCCCTGCGGCAGCTTGGGCATGCCCTTTCCATTCAGCTGCGGCTCCGCGTCCTCCACATCCCAACCAACACCTGGATGTAGCTTTGCGCGGTGGGCGGGAGGTCGAATCGCACCACCAGCTGGCAACGACGGACATCGATGCCCTCCTCCACGACCGCCGTGGCCACCAGCAGGTTCAAGGTGCCCTGCCTGAACCCGCGCAGGGTCTCCTCTTGGTGCTGGGGAGTTTGAGAGCGTGTGGAGGAAGGGGTTTGGCAATGAGGCAAAGTCTTCGTGGTTGCTAATGTGTATGCTGCACTCCACTTGGGGCAGCAGCCCCAGGCACTGCAGGGGTCCCACCTCCGGTCCCACATCCCCACCCCTCCATTCCAGGTTCACTCACCCTGACGCCCACGGCCTCGCCAGTGCGCTGCTGGTACCCCGTGACAGCGGCCGTTCTGAGGAAAGCGCGCGTGCAGGGCAGCGTGCTCAGCAGCATGTGCACGGCCCAGCAGGCCAGCCGCCGTGTCACAAAGACGATGCCGCTCCAGCACGAGCCTTTGGTGTTCAAGAGGAATGGGGGGTTGGGAGGATGGAGGCGACAAGGCTGCGCAGTGGATGGGAACCCCACCATCAGCAGGCATGCTCCGCGCCATCCCAAAGCCCCAACTGGGCTCCCAACATTGCCTGGGCCATCCCCCAGCCCGGCCCTTAACCAACCAAGGACGGATGCGCGCCACGCCACACCATCAGTCTCATTCTGGGTGGCCGTCCCCCGGTACTGCAGCAGCTGCTCGACCAGGACTACCACCTTCTGCGTCACCAGACCCAGCCGTCTGGGCTCCTGGGTCATGGGCACCACGTGCGCCGCGCCGCCCGCCAGCACGGCCGTCACACGCAGGTCGGCGCCGGGGACGGCGCTCGCCGGCGGGCCCGCCGCCTCCTCCACGACGCCCAGGGCATCGACCTCAGCCTGCAGCTCGTAAGGGGTAACGGCACCCAGCAACTCCTCCATCGTCTTCACAGGCAGGTCCTGTGGCCAAGAGGGCAGGGAAGCGTGGTGATGGGGAGGCGGGTGGTTGCCGGGGTTTGGAGGACTGGAGTAAAAACACATCGTCATCCGCCTCTTTGAGCCTCCCTCTTCCATGCACCCACTCCCAGGCAGCACCCAAGCAGGTGCCCTGTTCACGCACCTTGATCAGCTGGCCACCCTCCACCCTCCGCCTGAGCATGCAAATCATGTCCTCGCACTTTGCGGCCTGGGGCGCGCCAGTTGGGAGCAGGGCTTGTGCAAAGGCAACCACCACCTCCAGGGCAGAGAGATTGGTGGCTGTCTGCTCCTGCTCGATCTCTGTGGAGGTGAAGGGTGGCCAAGCTCAGAGAACAGAATGAGGAATCATGGACATAGATGGGGTCGACTGGATGCCCATGAGTGCACAGCAGGTTCCAGCATGAGCTTTTTGCATAGTGGCATTGAAGGATTGCGCGCACGCCCCCCCCTTCCCAAGCACCTTGTCTGGGGAAGGTGGGCACCTCTTCATCAGACATGTCGGAGTTGGACCCCTCCTCGTCAGCCATGGTTTCACCCATGACGACGGTGTCGCGACCCATCCTGCGAGGCTGCATCTGCTGAGGAGGAGCATCGCGCTCAGCCCTCTAATTCACAATGTTCCCCAGGCACTTGGGTAAATTCTCTGATGCACTTGCTGGGAAGAGAGACAGGACTCCCTGTGTGCACCAGCACGCGATCCAGGAGGGGCCCAACCTCTAACCTTGCATCGAGCCTGCAAAGCCACCCCTCTCACTCCCCCCTCCGGCCTTGACCACCCGCGCACATGGTGGACTGACATTGCCGCCAGCCGGGCTGCAGAGGGGTTGAAGGTCTGGTACTCAAAGCCCTCTCCCTTCTTGTTGGCCCCCATGCCAGCCATGTAGGTGGGGGCCACCTCGGTGATCAGGGTTTTGAAGATGGAGCGCGCTGCCTGGGCCCCACACCACATACCCAGTGTCTGGGGGAGAGAGGGGTGGGCATGTTCATGATCACGTTGATCACCTCATGCTCCCAGGGGTTGCTCAAGAAAAAGGAGGCTGGCGCAAGGTGGCAGGAATAAAGAAACACAACAGTTTGGTCCGCTTCCCACCCCACCTCGGTGACATGCTGCACGCCAGACAGCATCTGGTTGAACCTGGAGGTTGAAAATCCAGAGATCTGCAGATGTGGAAAAGGATGTCCAGCTTGACACATCGTGCTGGATCTTGAAGCGTTTACACTGCATTCCCTCGGTGTTCCAGGCCATGGCTGCACTCCTCGTTGCATCTCCGCACCACAGGGTCAAAGTACACTCGGCCTGACGACTTCTTGGCACTGCCCATCTTCTGTTCGAGCTCGTGCGTCCAGACTTGGCTGCAGTGTGTCGGGATGATTGTGTCGGGGGGTCTGGGCTAGATTAATGCAAGGTACCTGCATCCATCCTGGCCCAATGAGAATGGAATCCAGCTCACACCCACAGACCCGGCCCAACCCAGGAAGCCAATACCGTGCGCCACACAGGGCGATATTTCCTCCTACCACCAGCACGCCCCGCCCAGTCTCACCTGACCAGGTCTCCGGCGGCGGCAAGGCGCAGCCTGGCGTGGCTGATGGCCCGCAGGAGGGCTCGCAGCTCTGGTGGGTGGCCCTGGCCGCACGAGTAGTAACATATGCGCAGAGTGGGTGGTGGGGCGGCGGCCTCCACGTCCTCGCGATCGAGGACTGTGACCACCTGGGGGATGGCGAGAGGGGGAATACGTGACCCAGCCGTCCCAGCAACTACTCTAACAAACTATGCAGTTGCCAGTGGGTTCCATGCCACAGGCATCATGTTCCCCGACCAGTTCCCGCCCCTCTGCGAGTGAGCATCCACCTTCCGCCATGTGGGTCCATCCCAGAAAGACTCACATGCGCATCCAGGTTTCCTTCAAGCGTCACGATGTTTTTGGACAGCCGCCAGGAGGCCTGTTCCCTCCTCACGTTGGCGGGGGCGGCTGTGAGCCCCAGGATGTGAGGCCGGGGCGTCGACCCCGTCACTGCAGGGAATCAAGGGGCGTGTAGCTGAGAAGGGAGTCTTTCCAAAGAGCATGTGGGCTGCACGCACTGAGTGGGCTTGCATGGCTCATCAGCTCCCTCCCACACTCGGGCTCATTCCTTCCCCATCTCCAGTGGGCAACCCTGGTCCACCCAGCCACACTCACCTCGGTGATAGAACTCCTTCATGATGAGGTTGTAGGGGTGTTTCTTCTGGGTGTGGTGGCACTCGTCAAACACGATGGTGTGCACGCGCGATATCTGGCGGGGGGAGGGGTATGTGTGCAATTTGGCTGGAGTTGGATGAGGTTGGGGGTGCCAGGAGGGTCAGCCGGCAGGGAGGGGTGCCGTCGGGGACGTTTGGCATCTGAGCGGATGCTGAGTGGGATGTGCAGTGCCCAGAGGGTGCCCACCACGCCTGGGGCCTGAACACAGGCCTGAGCCCATCACCCCTTCCACCTCGCGCCCAACCACACCCAACCATCACTCACCGGGATGATGGCGTGAGTCAGTAGGTTGAGCAGGATCTGGGGCGTCATGACCAGCACCCCATGCCGCTCCCACTCCCGGCCCCAGCGCCTGGAGTCCCACAGGTCCACCCCCATCTCCCCCACGTAGCGCCCCACGGCGCAGGGCAGGTGCGCCGCCAGGACCTCGGCTTGCTGTGGGAACGTGGTTGGGGTGGGGCGAGGGAGGCGGATGATGCCAGGGATTGCAGGCCACGGTTGGTGCCGGGGCTGGGGGCAGGGCCAGGGCACATGCGCCAGCCAGGCCACGCAGAGGGTGGATCACAGGATCATGGATGGATCTCTCCATGACTTAAAATAAACAATCGTCCACAGCCCAGACATCACCTGGAAGACCAGAGGTACGCGGGGGACCAGGAACACCGCCCGGGCAGTCGCCTGGTGTGTGCTGAGGGAGGCAGTGAGGCGGTGCTGGAGGAGCATGACCGCGATGAAGGTCTTCCCCGCCCCCGTGTCCAGGAAGGCGATGACCTGGCGACGGGTCGGGGGGCAGAGGGGTCCGAGGGTTGCTGGGGAGCACATGCGCTGTCCCAGAAACGAGCATGCGGTGACCCTGAAGGGATCCCTTGTCCCTCCTCGGACTGCGGCTCACATTATTGGTCTTGGCCATTTCCAGGAGCTCCACCTGGTACGCCCGCGGCTTGATCTGGGCAGCGCCAGCTTGTACAGCCACGGTGAATGCCGACCGTTCTGCACGGTGGGGCGGCATGCGGTGTGTGGAATGGCACAATGGATGCCATCAGGTGCACTCATTTTGCATTGACCAAAGCATCTCGCTCTCCATCGTGTACCGTCCATGGCCCCTGGGAGGCGCCTTCTGCTCCCGACAGAGGCGGCAACCGGATGTGATCAAGGCATCAAGGCTCCCGATTGAAGCGATTACATGGTGATCTATGATCTGTAAAACGATCTACCCACAAGCATGATGGGCTACAAACTTGATCTATTTAGTACTCGGGCGTAAGCAGAATCACCATGTCTCACTCCTGGCGCGCGCGCACACAGGATGCGGACCGCTGATGGCCGAAAGGCAATGGGAATGTGTCTGGAAGGATGTCGATTCCATACACACATACCCGATGTGTATCAGCATGCATTGAAGCTCTGGGAATGGTGACTGCGAATGGGACCGCGGTCGCCAAACGCCAGAGAACGGAGGAGGACGGACAGGGCGCGAAGGACCTGAGGCACGCGAAAAAGGGCAAAGCTGGGCTCAAGCTCTCCGATTTATATATGCATTGCTCTTAGTTTGCAAAGAGACGGGCCGAGGCTCGCCTGCACCACGACACAACCGGCGCATGCGTGACAGGTAGGCAGCCACCTCCCTCACACCACAGGGATCGCTTGCAGGAGGCCCGCAAGGCTCTCCCCGTCTACTCAGCCCGCCATCGACTGGTGGAGGTGGTGAAGACCAGTCCCTGCCTGGTCCTGGTGGGGGAGACGGGGAGTGGGAAGACCACCCAGGTCCCCAGGCTCCTGCTCGAGGCCGGCCTGGCGGCCGGCGGCGCGATAGCATGCACGCAGCCGCGCCGAATAGCGGCCGTGACGGTGGCCCAGCGAGTGGCCAATGAGATGGGCTGCAAGCTCGGCAGCCAGGTGTGGCGGGGTCAGAGGAGTTCTCTGAGGTGTGGTGCGATGGGCTGCCTGGCCGGGTCAGTCTTCCTGTGCATCTCCCTGTGTTCCTGGATCTTTCTGCCAGCTGAGTAGAAGCTTTGTGAGAACCCAGTATCCAGTCTGGACTAGTTGTAAACCCGTGCGTCCCTGCAGGTGGGGTACTGCGTCCGCTTCGACGACCGCACAGGCCCTGATACCAGGATAAAGTACATGACGGACGGCATGCTGCTGCGTGAAGCCTTGTTGGACCCCCTGCTGCAGCGATACAAGGTGGGAGCTTGGTCAAAGAGTGTTCCACGAGGGACAGGGATGCCGCAAAACTTGACGTTGGCTTGACAGATCAGTCTCCCATACCCAGCATGGGCTCATATTGGAGAGCCCCTGCACCCCTCAGCCAGTACCCAACCTCCCCCCACCCCTACCCATGACCCATTCTCACTTACCAGGTTGTCATCCTGGACGAGGCGCACGAGCGCACCGTGGCCACAGACGTGCTGCTGGGCCTGCTGAAGGCCGCGGCGGCGGGCAGGCCCGAGGGCGACCTGCGCCTGGTGGTCATGTCGGCCACCCTGGACACCCAGAAGCTGACGGCCTACTTCCAGGGCTCCCAGGCGGCATACATCGCAGTGCGTGGCCCCTTTGCTAGGATGTTACGTCTGAGGGAGGGAGGGTGCTGTGGGTGAGGCTGGCCTGGAGGCTCACGCCAGCACAGCACCCATCACCACATCCTCGCTACCGCTGCACCCCAGCGCAGGGGAGGCAGTACCCAGTGCAGGTCATGTACACCCCTGCGCCGGAGGAGAGCTACGTGGACGCCGCCATCACCACCGCCCTGCAGATCCATTGCGAGGAGGGCCCCGGCGACGTCCTGGTCTTCCTCACCGGCCAGGTGGGGCGAGGGTGGGGTTCAGTATCGCCACCCCGGCTGCATGGTGCCGCGCACTGTGCCTTTTCCTTCAGCGTGGCGCATCGAGTGTCCTCTTGTTCCTGCCAAATTCCCATTCCGATGTCCTGGTCCGTCACCCTTATTGCCCCTCCAACCCCAGTGACAAGTCCCCATCCCCTCCCCCCCTTCCTTCTCCAAAGGATGAGATCGAGGCGTGCGAGCGGCTGCTTACCGACCGCGCCGCCAGCCTCCCCCCTGATCCCGCCCGCCTGTCCCTCTGCGTGCTGCCGCTGTACGCGGCGCTGCCCCCCGAGGCCCAGCTTCGCGTCTTCGAGCGCGCCGCGCCGGGGTCGCGCCGCGTCGTGCTGGCCACCAACATCGCTGAGACGAGCGTGACGGTGCCGGGCGTGCGCTTCGTGGTGGATAGCGGCATGGTCAAGGCGCGGGCTTACTCGCCCCGTCTCGGCGCCGACTGCCTCCAGGTCGTGCCCGTCAGCCAGGCGCAGGCGCGCCAGCGCAGCGGCCGTGCAGGTGGGACTGGCTGGGCGTGTGTGTGTGCGTGTGTGTGTCAGGGGGAATGGACCCGGGTGCGTCCACATGGGCGCGATGGATCGAGGGGCTGGAGCGACAGAGCGTACGACGCTGCAGGCGGCTGCCTGGCACCCTGCGCCGCTGCCTGTCCGTGCATTGTCTCTCCACCAGCAGATGGATCACCCTGTCCTCTGGCCCCGACAACACACTCCCTCTCCCCTTGTCGACTCCCCCCCACCCGACTCCTCTTTCCCCCGCTCACCCCCAGGCCGCGAGGGCCCGGGCAAGGCCTTCCGACTTTACACCGAGGCCGCCTTCGCCAAGTTGGCGCCCAGCACGGCGCCGGAGATCCTGCGCACCAACCTGTCCAGCGTCGTGCTACAGCTCAAGGCACTTGGCGTGCGGGACGTGCTGGGCTTCGACTTCCTGGACCCGCCGCCTGCGCCCGCGCTCGTGCGCTCCCTGGAGCTCCTGCTGGCGCTGGGGGCGCTGACGCGGGAGGGGGACCTGGCGCACCCCATCGGTGAGCGTGCCGCCGTGGGGGGCTGAGGGAGTGGGGGGAAGGTTGGGGAGGAGGAGAGAGCGGTGAGGGGGAGGGGGTGGAATTAAGGTACCTGCCGGTGATCACCAGCGGTGACTCATCCACCCAGATCCTTTCACCCTTTCTCTCCCTATCTGTAGGCACCTCCCTGGCCCGCCTGCCGGTGGACCCCATGTTTGGCCGGGTGCTGATGGCCTCGGCGGAGCTGGGGTGCAGCGAAGAGGCGCTGGCTGTCATCGCCATGGCCTCCACCGACCCCGTCTTCCAGTTCCCCAGGTGGGTTTGGGTGTGTTGCATCTCCCGTTCTGGGAGGGAGGTGAAGGGCGCCGGGGTTTGGGTCCAGAGTTGTCCTGTTCGCCCTCTGCTCCTCTCCAAGACACTGGACTCTGCCGGCTGCACTCATCCACTTCCCCCCACAACACTCCCACAACCCCCCTTCCAGGGAAAAGCGGGAGGAGGCGGCGGCCGCCCACGCCCGCTTCGCCTCCAGGGAGGGCGACCATCTCACCGCCCTGGCGGTCTTCCAGCGCTTCGTGGCCCAGCCGCGCAAGCAGGCGGCCGCCTGGTGCCGGGAGGGCTTCCTGAACGCGCGGTCGCTGGCCAAGGCGCGCGACATCCACGCCCAGCTTCGCGGCCACTTTCAGGCCCTGGGCCTGAGGCTGGCCTCCTGCGGCGACGACGCCACGCCGCTGCGCCAGGCCCTGGTCATGGGCCTGTTTTCCCACGCCGCGCGCCGGCAGCCGGGCGGTGGGTGGGGGGACTGGTGTTGGGCGGGGGAATGGGCTCTACTGCATGGCTCGCAGTCGTCTAACAGTGATCAAACAACCTCTGCCTGGAACACTGAGCCACCCACCGACCCATGCGTCTGAACATCACCCCACACACACATGCACCCGCGCAGATGGCAGGGTCATATACTCTTCCTTCTCCCCCCCCCTCTTTCAGGCACCTACCGCGTGCTGGCGACGGGGCAGGACGTGGCGCTGCACCCCAGCAGCGCGCTGGCGCGGGCCGGTGGCGCGCGCAGCGGCGTCCCCGCCGTCGACGCAGTGGTCTTCGGGGAGCTGGTGCGCACCACGCGGACCTACGCCCGCGACGTGACCGCCATCGACATCAACTGGCTGCCCCAGCTGGTGCCCAACTTCTTCGCACGCGCCGCGGCGGCGGGGGGTTGAGGCGGGGAGGCTCAGGCGGCGGGTCAAGAGCGTGAGGCGCTGAGGGGGGGGAGCGAGGTGTTTGAACTGGCTGTTGGACCCTTGGTGGGGCGCAGGGTGCCGGCTGCTGTGTACCTCCCTTGCCCCCTGTTGGTGAGCCGCCCAGTGCTGGCCCAGCACCCGGCTGATCCAAGCCCGTCATGCCAGGCTGCGCTGCGAGGGGCGCACTGGGGCGGCAACGTGTGCAGATCCGAGCACAACCCCCACCCTACAAGGAACACATGCTACATGACCGCCTCCCTCGCAGCCTGTTCCGACCCTGTCCATCCCTCACTGCATGTGAAGGACTTTACAAAGGAAGCACTCTTCCACAGGATGGTGTGGTGCATACAGGTGGTTAAAAGCAACTCCGGCCGGCGCATGGGCTGACAACTCGGGTTCTTTCCGACGACAGGGTAGCGGCATGTATGGGGTTGAAGGAAGGTCATAAGGAGCAGCAAGGGGTACAGGCAAAAGGTGGCGGCAATCCACATGCAGAAGGGAGCGTAAAAGAGCGCGCCTGGGTGGGGGGCTCAGAGGACCGGGGTGTGTTGCCGCAGCGGGGCATTGCGCAGGTCACAGGCGCAGAAGGGGGGAAAGAAAGAGTCCCAAGGGGGTGGGGAAGTGAACGCTCGTGTGCACGGACGCTCGTGTATCAAGAAAAAGATTCATGCAACGGGACGAAATAACTGGTGGGCAGAGGGCCATACGTGTGGCTGCAGGTGGGGTCAACAAAGATGCATGGCATATGTCTGCGCAATCTCTGCGCGGGGCGTCCGAGGTGGGGTGGGGGTGGGATGCAGGCGGCGGTTCCGCCGTCGGCTCCCATCGTGTCCCCGCCCATCACCAGTTCTGCCCGCTGGACTCAATGGCCCAGGTACTGTCATGGGTGGACCCCAGGAGCTCCACCTCGGCCGCAATGCCACACCCCAGCGAGTATGCCTGGGGGGTGGGGTGGGTGAGGGGGGTAAAGGGCTCGACCCACAGCTCATACTTGGTGCATGCTGCCCACCTTCTAGAATCCACCATCTCGGCTCATGCCAGAATATCCACGAAGAAACGCCACTCCAGGAGGACGGACCTGATCAAGCCTCTCACGCAGGTCGGCGGCCAGGCGCTGCAAGTTTGGCTCCTGCCCACGGTGGGTGGTGAAGAGGAAGGCCTGCGGGTCATCCGCCAGCAGAATGGTGGAGTGCTGGCGCGCCTGCTGCAGCGAGCACTCCACCAGAGTGATGCAGACCGCTGGAACCTTCGCGATGGAGACGTACTTTTGTTGGTCGGGCCAGGCGCCGGGCAGCACCGAGGTGGGCGACCCCCCGACGCCGGACTTGAGGAACCTGACGCGCACAACGGCGGTTAAGGCCTCGCAGGTATGCGGGGTGCGCGGGGGGGAGACGTCCGACGTCGGCGAGCCCTTCACGTGCATATCGACATGGACTGCGGCACGCTGGGTGGGGAGTGGGGTGGGGCGTCACACTCGCAGTCGGGTCACGTGAAAGCGCGGCAGTCCAAGGGATGTGCACAACGAGGAGCAATGCGAAATTGAGCCGGTCGAGTCAGGCAGGAAATCACATGTAGCTGATTGGGGGCACACCTGCAAGATCCGGTGAGGGTACTGCCCTTCCTCAGTCTTCCTGGGAGGAGTCACGAACCCCTCGCACGAAGACTCCCGCGGTCCGACCGAGGTGGAAGGGCGCGTTGCCGGTGAAACAAGACTGCGACACAGCAGAACCCCTGCAGTAAAAATCTTGCCCTACTCGAAAGGTATTCAGAGGCATCTGTGCTTCGGAGAGCCACGGAAGCTTATTTTGCGAGATGCTTCCGGACTCGTGTATCGTCGGAAGCTCTGCATGCTGCGCGTGCTGGATCGCACCAGCTTCCGCCGACTTCGATTGAGCTGTTCCAGCTGGCCATCGGGGGGACCGTTTTCCGCACGACCGCCCACTCGACAGACGGGAAATCCGGAAGTGATTGGTGGGCGACAACCTTATCGACACATCCATTGCAAACGACCTGCTGATCACGTTTCCCGTGCGCCGTCGTAACCCGTGCCCGTACCTCAAAAAAACACGTCAGCTATCTGGGACGAGTCGGGCCCGGAAAGGGCGTGACACTTCAGCGGTCCAGCCGAGTATGAGCTGAGGCATCGTGCGTCCCAAACGATGCGCGGAAGACTGGTCGCACGGCAGGGCGGCACAACGCTGCCCGGAGCCGACTCATTACTCACTGGCTTGACTAATGCAAGGAAACCCACTTCCAAAATCAATGTGCCCAGAATCGGGGTTTGCGTCGGGATTTTGTTGATATTCGAGGGGTCCGCATGGCCTCCGGCGCAGGGGTCATGGCGGAACAGGAATGCGATGCCATTGGTACGAGGAGGGACGGGTGCGAGGTTTGTCCTCGCAACCCCCTGCAACCACCGGCACCACGTGCTGAGGGAGCCTCACGTCGCTCGGGCCCATGGACTCACCTCACCCATAATACCGGGCAAAGGTGGCCTCTGCAAACTCCCCAAACGTCATCCCTCGGCGCCACTGGCCGACGCTGGCCTCGCCCTCGCACCCCTCGGCACACTCCAGCGGCTCATCCCACCTGCGGGCATTGGCATACTGACAGTCGCTCAAGCATTCAAGCGACGCCCAGGCAAGCAAAGCCCGGGGCCATTGCTCGGTATACCAGGATAGCACAGTGCCAAGAGGCTGTGCAATTTAGGGACCAGCACCCCCATGGCCCACCAGAAAGTGCCCATGCATCGGCCCAACAGTCCACGCCGCCGCCTCACCGCGGCTGCATGAACACTGCAAAGGTCTCGCGCGTGAGCTGGGAGCCTCCCGATCCCGGCTCCGGCCCCACCACGCAGTGCGGAGTGGCGGTGAACAGGCCCCCACTGAGCACCTGGGCCGCCTCGCCCAGCTGGAAGGCCAGGCACTCCGGTGGGATGCCCACCCGCACCACCTGCCCATGAAGGGTGCGGATGTGCAGGCCCACGCCGCCGCCGCCGCCTGCCACGGCCGCGCCGCCGGCGTCCAGGTATTGCGCAGCGCAGAGGCCAGTGAGGCTGCCGTGGTCGGTGTGCCATGCACACCAGCTGTCCGAGGCGGCGCCGCCTGGAGCCGCATAGTAGTGTAGCAGGCGGGCCTGCGGGGGGTTACAACACGTGGTGGGTCGGCTGTGTGTGGGGGGGTATGGATAAAGGCCGCCCCCCGCGGCACCAGGCTGTGCCCGGAGCGTGCCCTTGGGGTTCCACCCAGGTACAGATAGTTAAGCCGGGCGTGAGCCACAGAGGGTGGCCCAGGGATCATGCGTCAGCCGGTCACTCCACACTCCAGGGGCCGTTTCACAATCCCCATGAGAAGGAACATTCATGGCTGGGCATGGGGCCCAAGGCCACCTGCAGGCACCAGAGGCCACACCAGCAATCCGCCCAACGCCATCACCTTGTGGCAGGGGGAGGTCTGGAGAGTGTCGTGGAGGGAGGGGCAGACGGTGCCGGTCCCCGCCTCCCCGCCAGCTTCCCGCTGCCGAGCCGCGAGCAGTGTGTCGCAGCGACATGCAAGGTGGAGCCCGGCCGCCACGATGATGCGCCCACACTCCTTGAAGGCAGGCTCCAGCTCGGGCAGCGCCTGGGTCGGCCAGATGTTGGGCCTGGTGTGCCAGGAGTCGTAGTATAAGCTGAGGTCAGCAGGGGCCGCAGGGCTGCACTCAGTCTGTGCTCAGGTTTCCCTTTATGAATAGGTCGCCAAGCATCTTCCATGGCAATACCCACCGCAGCAACTTCCATGGCATCACCCACTGCAGTGGCAAGGCTAAGGGCACATCATCCCTCAAACTGATCCCCCGCGCGAGAGGCACCTGGCATAGGCGGGGAACTCTGCCTGAAGCTGGGTGTCCTCAGTTACTGAATCCAGCATTGGATTCGCGTAGAAGCTGCCCTTGTGGGTGTCGGGCTTGCCATCCCGCAGCGCCTCTCGCCCGTGACTCCAGCCGATGTTATAGCGAGAGGCAGCATCTTCGAGCCTGGCCAGCTCAGCGGGTGGGAGCTCCTGCAGACCGAGCAGTGGGCTTCTTGAGGTTATGGACAGGCAGCATGAACATGTCGAATCGTACAGGCCCACATGGCCCCACCAGATCATCTCTGCATGCCCTGTGCTGCAACACACCGACAAGCGTCGAGCCAAGGGGAGCAGGCGCTGTCTCGCTGCGCGGAAGCCGGGAACTCCTCGTATCAGGATCAGGCCCAAGCCATCTCTGCCAAAGGCCTGTCGGGAGGAAATGCTTCAGGGGCCTTCTGGTACAGGCAGTATGTACCTCACGAGACAGCATAATATACAATGGATGTCGGTATCATACCCTCAGAAGGTCGGTCGACAGGTCATGTGCCTGATCTATCAGATGGCTGTACTCGATACAGACGGGCTCTCCGGATGGCACGGCACCCTCCATGGTGGCCAGGCTGGCTCATGCACACTCGGAGCGCGGCATATCAATGCCTAGATTTTCATTCAGAGCGCATGACCATGTCGTGATCCATAACACGGCTAGTTGATGCGTTTTACCACCTGTCGCTGGCACGTAGACGTTCTTCCATGGCGCCGCACCCGCAGCACGGTCGACTGCAGATCCGCATGCACTGTCGATGTCCTCCTCCTGCCGATTCGAGTCGACAATGAGCCTTTCCCCGAAGTACAAACACTTGCAATACGTTTCAGTATGGCGTTGCAATTGCCTCGACAGGCTGACTTCAGCGCCAACATTTTCCGACGGGGCCAGAAGCGGGAGCTCTTCGAGGATGCAGAGGAGGAGGAGGTCAGTGCAGAGACGGAGCTGGCCTCCAAGCTGGGAGACCTCGCAACCCTGTGGGCCGCCGACCGCATCGGGTGAGGGCGCTGCATGCCGAGGCCCAGGGGAAGACATGGTTTTGATGGGGCCGCCGAGCTCAAGGCAAGGGCCTCAGGGTCACTGGCCCTGCTCCCTCCTGCGCGATCGTGGTGGAGCGGGCCAGGTTCTGTCCCCAAGCTCATCGCGGTCAACTTCACCGGGAACAACGGCAGGAAGGAGCTCTCGGCTGCCATATGGAGGCCCTCGCTGGGCCTGGCGGAGGTGGTGCTGCAGAGGGGCAAGGCGGTGGCCCACCTGGGCGTGCAGCAGCGCAGCCGCCTGTACCTCCACCCCGAGGAGGCCACGTGCGTAGTATGGGGATGGGTGGGCATGCCGTCGCGGCCATCGCTGCGATATTCGAGCAGACCGAAGAGACGGTTGAGATCCTGAGATGCCCAAGTGTCTGTGAGGCCTTCTCTGGGAGTACTCCATGAGCTCAGCTCTGGCATCATACCCACACCACATCACCCCCCCTCACTCTCAGGTACCTGGTGGACCGGGCCAACCTGCTGCTGTTCACGGAGGGCCCTGGACGAGCCCAGCGGCTGCTGTCGCTGCAGGAGGCCCAGGACCTGATGCTGGGCGCGGGCGTGGGCATAGACCTGTACCTGGTGTTCTGCAAGCTCACGCGCGCAGGCTACATCGCGCAGCGCCACCCCGCCCGCTGGATCGCGGGGCCGCGCGAGGACCTGGGCGCCGTTTGGGCCCGCTGGCGGGGCGGGGCGGGGACCGACGCGTGCCTGGTCGGGGAGGGCAGGGGCACGGCGGCCGCGACCCCGGACCGCCACAGCGGGGCCCGCCCGCCCATCCATCCCACGGCGCGTGCCCCGCGCGACAGGCCAGTGCCTGCCCGGCCCGCCACGGCCCGGGGCCAGAGCCGGGGCTGGTGGGCGCTGGATGGGTGGGCGGGGGTCGGTCCCCGCGAGGGCTTCTGGGCGGCCCAGCCGCGGGCGGAGGTCCTGCAGGGCACCGCGGCAGGCAGGCGGGCGCAGTACCCCTGCCTGCAGCCGCTCGCCCAGACCTCCCGCGGCGAGGTGGCGCAGGCGGCGTACGAGGGCGGCGCGGCTTCCCCTCGCTTGGTGAGCTGAGTGGGCCGGCGGCAACCGGGTGAAGAGGCAGGGATACTGGGCTGGGCCTGCACAGCACTTTCCAATGGGGTGGCTGCGCCGTGCCGATGGTGCATGGGCATGTCGTGTTTTGTGTGCCAGACCATGTCTTTGGGGCCAGAAGGTGGTTGATGTGTCACCGGATCAAGACGCCGGCCTCGTACCCATACATTCCTTCACCACCTTTCTTCACGCCCGCTCATTACTCCCCCGCCAGCACCTGGATGTGTGGGGAGCGGACGCGAAATTCAGCCGCCGCGGGGCCGGGGACCCGCTCTTCCACGTCTCCGTCCACCCCGCGGGCGCGGCCCCGAGTCTCCAGGAGATGGTCGTGCTGGAGGCGGCGGCGGGCGACATCCCCGTCAAGTTTGCGGTGGTGGAGAAGGGCGACATCGGGTTCTACGGCTTCTCCCATGTTCGCCTGCAGGACATCCTGTGACGAGGGATCCGTGCTCATGGGCGGCCAAGGTCTTGCACGGAGCGGCCCTGGAGGATGTTACAGTGCCGCGGCAACACGTGAGCCTCCTGCCAGGCGGTTCGCTCCATCCATCCTGATCGACTGGGCCGTGGACTCGCAAGTTCCTCAGGCCTGATGTCCATGCTCTTGTCACCAGGGTTCTCAAGACGCACGTTGTACATACTGTATTTAAAACCAACTCGACAAGCATGCGATGTTGATAGTCTCCAAAGGGCAATCCTCGAGGAGAACACACATGCCGGTATGACGAGTAGGGTAGGTAAGTTCAGCTTTTGTTGGTGGAGATGGGGGTTGCTGGTGGAGGGTGGGGTGTTGAAGGACGCAAAGCGTCTGCTAAAAACTAAGAAGATGGCTTTGTGTCGAAGATACGCGGTGCGATTCAGTAAAAGGCGGAATTGCAACTCGTTCGTATCTACGACGCCATGGATGGTCGCGGTGGCCCGAGGCTTCCGTCCACATCTGGCTGCCATGCTTCCGCACCAGCCACGGGTTATGGGTACGATGCCGACAGATTGAGACCTGTCTCGCTCTTACCATGCCGCCTCACGAGTGAAATCTGTTGCTATGAAGCTCGACCTCCTCACAGAAACATGGAGGGGTCGGGTGGTATTCGCGATGGCATGCGGCCGGTGTACTTTCCCTTCCCCACCGGATCAGTCTGCCTGGTCGGCCGCCCTCCTGCGCACAGCCGCCACCGCCGCATGCAGAGCAGCCTCCCTTGCGCCTGCGGCCTTCACGGGGCTCCCACGCAGAGTCGTGCTCGAGCCCGTGGGCCCAGCCCCAGGCCTCTGGGGCTGCCTAGAGGCATACACCTCCCTGCACTCCTCCAACACCTTGTGGTACCGGAGGGGGGCGGGTGTGGCGTCGAGGGGAGCACCTCCTTGGGCTCGAGGTCAGTGCAGAGGATCATCATCATGTTGCTGCATACTGGTGGCCGCGAGGAGTCGGTGCTGCTGGTGCCCAGACCGCACCACACTGGGCTGAGGTCTGCCGACCTCCCACCCACCCACCCACCCACCCACCCCTCCACCCAAGGTCCCACCATCATCTCCTCACCTCCTTGGCGTCGGCCTTGCTGAACTCGGTCCCCGCAGCAACACGCGCGGCCAGCAACCCCCCGAGCAGGGTTGGGGTGATGCCCGGGGCCAGGGACACAATGGAGCCGTAGGAAAGCACGAAGCCGTCCAGGGAGTCGGCACCCAGGAACTCGGTCAGCTCCTCTATCAGCTGGCACGCCGCAGCCGCCTGGCAAAGGGGAGGGTGCTTTGGTGTGTGTGCGTGTGTGTTGGTGAATACAGAGGGGTTGGTCACATGGGGCTGCAGCAAGTCATTGCAGGAGTACAATCAAGGACTCTGCTGCCATGCATGGGCCCTGCCGCACTTTCCTCCATACCCTTAATACATGCCTCCGCTCACACCCGCCCTCCCCCAAACAATTCCCCCCACACCAGCCCACACCTTGGCTGGCTTGACGTGGCGACCAAAGAATTCCAGGATGCGGCCGTGGTCGCGACGCAGGGCCGCCACCTCGTCATCCCCCGCCAGGGTCAAGCCGGCGAGCACGGCACCCGAGTAGTGCGCCACGGTCTCCTCCAGCATGCCCTCCGCCACGCGCGGCAGCAGGGCAGGCTGGATCATGGCGGAGAAGTCGACCAGGTAGTCCTCCAGCGTGGCCAACATGCTGCCGGTGCAGGTGCCTGCCAGCCAGGCGGTGCTGCAGCCCAGCTGCAGCAGCAGGCCCACGAACCCGGGGTCAGAGAAGACCAGGCCCATCAGCATGCCCACGGCCTCCTGGGCCAGGCCCAGGAAACCGCGGCACGCCGACTCGATGTCCAGCTGGCCTGTGGGAGGACGAGGAGAGGAAAGGAGGGGGGGTGTAGAGATGATGGAAGGGACACAAGGGGAGTTTTTTTGTTGGAGAGTGATGGCACAGAGAGAACATGACCAGGCTTTGGATCTGTGCACCGCGCGCCGCTCGACGGGACCTGCGGCTGATATCGAGCCCGGACCAGCGGGTTGACTAGATGGCCACCGTCCATGCCGGTGCAGTGCAGGCGGATCACCCCGCCTCCATTTTCACGATGTCCGAGAGATCTGACAACACACATCCGGACTCTTCGAATCCGAAGGACAACAACGCCCTCCCCTCCTTCTCCAAACCAGAACGCATCACCCAGGAAGGTCCCCTTCCTCCCAAAACCACCCACCCCTGCGCCGCCGCTCCAGCGACTTCTGCAGCCGCTCCGCAAACTGCAGGCTCTCGTCGTAGCAGCGCATGTTGTTGTTCACCGCCGCGCAGAGCAGGTCCAGACCCAGCCGCCCGGAGGCCACCGCGGCGCGCTGGGAGGCCTGGTAGGAGGCCATTGCCTCCATCGCGGCGCGGGCGGTGGCCGCCAGCAGCGGGCCGTCGTCTACGCCGGCAGCCACGCCCAGCTGCTCGTTCAGGATGCGGAAGAAGTCGACGGGGCCGGGGGTCCAAACCCGACCCTCCGCCGTCACCTTGGGCGGCTCGCTGTAGTCCGTCTGGGGTAGGAATGGTTGGGTGGGGGGGGGGTTCAACGACCATGGGTGGAGGCGCAGTAACTTGGTGCAAGAGCGGCCGTGGCAAATGCCCATGGTCGGCTGGGGGCCGCGGCTTCTTCTCACCATCAGGTCGGGACAACGTAGGCACAAGCATGCGTTCATCACTCGCCTACCCCCTTTTCCCCTTCCTCTCCTCCCCTCCCTCCCCCACCTGGACGATGTTGGTCAGCCAGGTGGACAGCATGGCGGCCACACGGCCCACATATTTTTCCACCAGCAGGCCCAGCCCTGATCCGGGCGCGTCTGAAGGGTTCAAGACGAGGGCGAGGGGTGCTTTAAGAGGGGCTGACCCTCGTCGCAGGTCGCCAGGGGCTGCCCTGCGCCAATTCGCTGCCGGGGCACTGGCCGGCCGGCTCAGCAGCCATGGGAT